ACTTATTGTAGCAAGCTCAAAGTTGATATCAAAAGACAATACATTCACATGTTTTAACTCTGACTGTCAACACAGCAGAATACTTTCTTTGGCACTTAACTAGTTTATCATGATAGATGTGCATGTACAATGTAATCCACCAATCCATTTCAGGATGAGATAAAATTTTAGTTGCCATTCATGTATATGTATACACAGTAGACTATACTATAGGTTGGAACTCACCTTATACAAGGAATACACACAAGAACACTCCATATTAAGCAAAGCCTGTTCTTGTCCAACAAAGTGCCATCATCTAATGTCAGATTATCAAGAAAAGCCCTTAAAATCTTTCCACCTTGTTTAGTGCCACATTTGGGAAAGAAAATCAAGCCTTTTAAGCTACCCAAATCAAGGCCACCTTCACTCCTGGAAGCATTTTGAACAATAACCTCTGTCAGGATAAGGAACACTTCTTCAAGTTTAGATGAGCCCTTTAAAAGCTCTTCTTGGCAGCAATTCAACAAGAAAGGCAACACATCTGCCTGGAAGTTCTCCCACTTCAAAACATGTCTACAAAATGTAAATAACTGTTCACGACTGTTTACTGAATTGAAGACCTTCAATGTCAGTTGTTTACAGAATCGATCTCTTGAAAGTTCAGTAAATGATGCCTGTAGAAGTGTTGATGCAAGTTCAAGCAATGGAGAGGCAATGACGTCTGATATGAAATCATTAACCATCATTGTCTGGACCACCTGAAAAATATAATATAACATTTAACAAATTTAGTTGTAGACGCAGAGTTCGCTGTTATAAAGGAACTGGTAAACAGTCACTGACACAAATGGCTACTCCCAAAGGAAGTCAAACTCATGCCATTCCACTCATATTGGACATACAGGTCTTTAACTGACAATTTGTAGTAAACTAATGGGAGCTGCAAACATCCTAGCAATATGTGGAATGTTTGCTACATTTGACCCCTGTGAAGTGGTATACATCTAAATGTAGCTCCCATGAATTTCCTACACAGTGTATCTCTCATTGGTAAAGCACTGACCCAATGTAGAAATAAGCTACAGCAGGGCACAGATTCTGCATTTATGGGGAGAACTCTGAGAAAGAATTAGGTTTCTAAATTTCAAATCAAAAACAAATTTAAACTACAAGTAACAAAATAGAATATAAACATGTACTGTTATGCTCTCTGCATAGAAATACCCACTCACATTAAATAACTGTACTGGGTCAGATACCAAGCTACCAGACTTCCAAGAAACCCAAACATTAGTCAACCTTAGAAGAAAACCTATTTGACTCTTCAGGGACTCTTCTTGTTCACTACCATACTGTTTCTCTTTCCAAACACTCCATAACCTTTGCAGCTCTTGAACCAGAGACTTCTCAACCACTTGACAATGTTCCTTCACAGTGTATCTTGCCATTCTCTCAATCATGTGAACGAGTGACTGGAAAACCTTTCCAGATAAAAAAGATGGACAAGTCTCAGGCAACGTATCTTCTGAATGTTTTATAGTCTATCCCCAACCCCACAATGGTATTAGAATCCCAGGATTAAGTTTTCCTCTGCCCGAACGGCCATAAAGAGAGTATACTACTGTAATGTACATGATTTGCTGCCGCCACGTAACGAGTCCACTTACTGCACACAAACCTGGGGATACTTTGAGCTACCGATTTGTAAGACACATAGGTTTAGGAACACTTTTATTACGAGCCATATTTTTAATTATAAATAGTTTGCATATTTTGCCTTGTATAATATAATTCTTGTTTTATTGTAAAGTAATTCGTAATTCAGCCGCTCCAGCAGCTGCAATGAGTTTGCTAATAACAATCTATCTATCTAGCTATCTAATGTGTTGTATTAGTGGGACCTATGTCTAAATCAAGAGTTGCTAGAGTTTTTTGTGTTGCACAACCCCCTCCCCCTCTCTCAAGTTTTCCCCTGAAGCATTTTCACAGGACATTTCATTACAACTGTATGTGGAGACAGCTGAGCAAGAATATTGCTAGCCATCCTATCCCTAAACTTCTTATCAAAAAAAAAAAAAAACTTATGGAAATTAAATTCCTATTGTGGTCAAACACCATCATAAGGAAACCACTATTATTATTCATATGAAACCTGAGATGACTTTCCAAGTGGAATGTGTAAATGTTATGAAGCATAATCCAATATGAGCTACAGTGAACAAACACACCTCCTAAAACAGTTAATATAACATTGCTTTTAACTCAAAAAGCCAATACATGTAGTTTGTGTATGTTTACATACATACCAATTCCCACTGCAAACAATGTACCACACCAATAGATTTGCTTTGAAAAACTCCAGTTTTAGAGAACAAGACAGGTAGAACAGAATCTGTCATAGAATGGAACTGCTTTTTCACTCCTTTGATCATTTCAAAACACAAAAATCCAAGCCCTTGACATAAATCTGGCTGGGAGTCAAGTGCAGAGAAAAGTACGTCAAACAGTCTGCTGGAGTCTTTGATTTTTCTCATAAGGAAGGAGAAACTCTCTGCAGCAAACTGCTGAATGTAATTCTTTTGTTCACCCACCAGAAGTGGACTGTACAAACTGAAAAAGAAATTCAACGATTCCATAAATTTATATGGCATCAATAGACAAGTGAAAATGGCTGTGTGTCCATTTATATATTTAAAAAACATAGAACTGTACATGCATAGGAAAATAAATTAAAGACCTGTGCTGTAGAATATTTATCTTTAAGACAAATAATAATAATGTCTGTCTCATTTTACCTACTTACATTGTGACTTGATTTATGGTGACCAAGTTTGCAATAAGGGAACCAACATCCTGTGATATCAAGCACTGACCTGATATGGCTATCATATCATGGTCACTTGGCCAAATCTGAGTACAGTAAATAATTAATCGTTCCTTTTTGGTATATGTTGGTGGCATATCAGGCTTGTGTGGTCTTGCCATGTGTATTTTGGCTTGACTAAATGTACGTCTCCCCAGAATACAAACTATCGCTTGTCCAAATGCACCTGATATGCCACTGAAGTATACCAAAAAAAGTACGATTAGGTATGGGTACAATCTGTTGAATATGTTTGACTGAGTCTGATTGGTTTGGAAATCAAACTCAAACAAAGTTCGGTGTCTAATTTTGTTCAATTGCAACACTCAGTCGAACCCAATCCATGGAGCAAGTTTGATTGAGTTCGATCTCTAAACGTTCACTTGGCTATGCAGAGTGTCCCTCTAATCACTTACCTAAAGACTTCTTCGATATCTTTCACCATGTATCTCCAAAGAAACTTAAATAGATAGCTCAGAGTCGTAAATATACACTCCAGAAGGTGGGTATCTTGCCAACAGCGATTCAGAAGAGATACAAAAATATTGAAGAAACTACTGAAGTTTGGGTAAAAGTCAGCCTGCAAGTCTCTAGCCAACTGAACAACAAGATCTAACAAGGACTCCAACGCGAGACTTCCGGGAACTTGCAGATGCGTTTTCAACAATGCTATAACTTGCTGCTTGTGGTGAACAAGCTGAGCAAGACTTTGAACGTATTGTCTGACCTCTGAAGCAAAGTTCTGAAAGTGTAAAGTGCAGTTTAGCTCCGTCCATTTCGCAAGAGCTTCACAAAAAAACGTATCTTCGTCCTCTGGAGTTTCGGTACTTCTTTGGATTTTGTGTGTCACGTCGACCTTAATAGCTGCAATACGCTCAGAAAATCCCTTAAACCTGTGCGTATTTGTTTCTTTCCTCTTGACCATGATTGCTTTTCCAACACACAGACAGAACTATTCTTTACAATCACGAAAACATTTGGCAAATGATTACCATGTGCTTTAGCACAGCTGGGCCGCCATCTTGAATTATTTTTACGCGAGAGACTGGAAATGAATTCCGCTGGCCAATCTCACATTTGGTCTCAATCGGTCCATTGTGATGGAGTACAAGGGCCCATCTTTTCAGTGTTTTGCGAAATGTTCCAACATGTTTTTCTTCTTCTTTCTCTCATTACTGTGATTTCTGAGCAGAACCTACATCAGGGCCCACTGTAAATACTGTTTGCCAGGTTCCGTGAATTTTCAGAAAACTGCTCAACACCTAGAGAATAATCTATTTTACAGTTCATCAAATATTTTCGCTAGCGCGCGATTGGTCTAATCGCTTCATGTGACTGAATATACCCTAGCTAAAATGGGGAATATCCGAGTGCTATATTCCCCAATTTTCAAAACAGTGCGTATTTCTGCAAATATCACAGCTCACAGTTTTCCTCGAGCTACACTCTCGGAAAACTGTTCATTTCTTGGAACAGCTAATATTCGAACATATTGTCAGGCCAAATGGAGGCTATTGTTTGTATAATTATCATCTAGTCCTGTTTTATTAAACTAGCTCAGTTTCAACATCATCTCATCTCACTCAACTGATTGACAATAAATACACAAAATTCTGGAATGCAAATACTGCTTTTTATTTAGAAGTGGGTTTAACTTAAATTGATTCCATCGATCTCTGAATTTCGCAGCAGGGTTTTTAATTAAATCATCGTCATTAGTTTTAGCGATAGTTTTTGGCAACGGAAAGGTCCTGCAAAATAAAGCAACTCATGAGATGGTCGAACGTAACTGAGAAAAATGTCAAACTTGATTCGCCGAGTTTAGTTACGTGTAAGAGAAGTTGGACATTAATCCCGAGCCTTATTACTATGCTAACATAAACTGGTACATGGTTCTTTCTATTGCAGATATTTATGCCATTTCTACGAAGCCAACCACGGGCGTCCGCGCTGGTCCCGATTATGTCCTCTTCACATCTGTATGAATGTGTAGTGGTTTTCCCGCAGGTGTAGAGTATTGATTAGTGAGTGCCTTTTTCAATGTGACTACCCTACTGCCGGCTTCCTTAAAGCTGAATTCACGACAGCGGCCAATTTCTCTGAGAAAACCTTTTTCGTCGGTGATACTTGTGCTCTTTCTATGACTGGACGGTATTGGTGAGTCACACTGTGAATTCTGGACGTTGTGTTTGACTATTCTCCCTACTTCTCTCGCTGTTCTAAAGCTAACCTTCTTATGCATGGTAGATGAAAAGTGATTCCCCTGTTGCGGAGTGCGCGATTGGCAAAGCGACTTGAACACTTTTAGGACGGCGCTCTGCATTCTGCGACTCAATGCAACAGCAATGAGAGGATTGATGGTATGGGCCATGGAACAAAACACTTGCGCTATTGCATTGAAATCAGTGCTCTGTCGTCCGAGGCTAAGCCATACCAGATGTGCAATAATCAAGGGTAAATAAGAGGTAGCTAATGTTGTCAACGAAGCCAGAGAAGCTAAATTAATCCTTTTATGCATTCTCCTCAACCTCTTTGAAAAATCCGAACTAAGCGGCTCTTTTACCGCATCTTGGTTTATCGCTTGCAGAAAGCTTTGCATGCGACAGAGTGAAAACAGGGTTGTAATTATAGCTACCAGAACAAGAACCGCTGCAATGATAGTGCCCGCTGGAGGACATCGAGATCTGGTACTAGTTGCTAAGCCCGA